GCGAGATACATTGAATTACAATGAAAAAAAAGATAATGAATACAATGAAATATATGAAAATACATCGTGATACGTTGAAAATACATTGAAGTATATTAACAGAAATTTTGAGATGGGTGAGAGGAATTTGTCTCAGTTTAGATGAAAGAGTAGCTAGGGGCGCCGAAACTGCCGCTGAAGATGCCATATTCAGATCGATATTGACGAAACCCTAGATGGAATACTACTGGATCGAGATGATTCAGAGTGAGTGGAAAAATGGGAACTGTGTATCGAAACCCTAGCGAAGTAGAGAGAAGAGAGCGTGGGTTCTGGACAAATTGAAATTTAGGAAGGGTGACTAATGGTAGGTGATGTGAGTGAGAGGAATTTTGAGATTGAGCATTGTGTTTTCACGGAATGGGGGAAGAGAATGGCATGTATCAAAGTAGAGAGAGAAAGAAAATAGTGTAACTGAATAGCGTATTTAGTGGCTTAGGGGTAGTAGATAACCAAAATTAGATATTTTGCTATAAATATTAAAAGGTATCTATAGAATATAATTGTTTAAAATGGTATTTATTTAAAATAAATAAGGTATTAACCTTTGCTATAGGAGGTAAAAATTCTTTGTTTGTTTGATGAACTCTAGCTTCCAAATGCAAGAGAATATGACAAAGAAGTTGTTAAGTGTACATAACTTTAGATAAAAAATACTCGCTCACACTCAGTATTTATACCAACAAGCAAAGTTAAGTTGAAGAAAAGAGGTTCAATTGAATCATCTTCGTCGAAAAGTTACATCATAAAGTAGGCAAAACCAATTTTTGTTGTCATATATTAAATCGTTAAACTCTTGACATAAGAATTTTTTTAAGTAAAATGATTAAAGTGGCTCAAATATTTCTTAGGTCATAGGTACAGCTATCAGTACGACATTCTAATACCTTTTAAATCTCTTTGTGTAAATTTATCACGATCCAAATTCTCCAACCTTAGGAATCGTAATGGCGCCTAACGCCACATTTGCTAGGCAAGCCAATATTATAATTCGATTAGCTATTTTTCCTTTGATTACTTACTTAAATATAATAGAACAAGTTAAAAGTAAATTAAATCTAATGATTTCCAGTGAATAACCTCATAAATAAAATTTTAAACAATTAAATAAACCGAGCCACACAATAAATATATACAACACTAAGATTACCCCAGGGTCTGGCGTCACAATTCTCGAACTACTAAAGAATACTACAATTAATGGGCTGAAAGAAATAATATAACTGTTTGGAGAAAATATAAAACAGTCTTTATGAACTAAGAGAAGACTCCAGGGTTCTGCGAACGCCGGCAGATATACCTCGTGTCTCCGAATGATGAATGACCGCCACTAAAATTTCTATCGTTGGCCGGTACCTGGATCTGCACAAAAGAGTGCAGTGTGTAGTATCAGTACAACCGACCCCATGTACTGAGTAAGTGACGAGCCTAACCTCGACAAAGTAGTGACGAGGCTAAGGCGAGGCAATGTAACTTAACCTACATCATTAGATATAATAAAGCAATAAAACAATTCTACACCAACAAGAAAGATAAACTGTAACATTAAATAAAATAACTCAGTCGCCTATTCCAGGCCTCAACTGTAATCAAGATCTCACACAAATCTCTAAATTTCCAAACTTCACATTAAAATAACCATATGTGCAGAGTATGAGAAACAATGGAGTAAAACAGTAAATTTTTCAAATCTTTGTATTAAAAATCAGTAAAACATAACCGTCCTCCTTTATCACTATCTTGTTGCGGCGTGCAACCCGATCCCACCTGTCCACCCTTATCACTATTATTTATTTCACCTGTCCACCCTTATCACTATCATTCATTTCACCTGTCCACCCTTATCACTATCATTCATTTCACCTGTCCACCCTTATCACTATCATTTATTTATTTAATAAAAACTTTCACAATTCAGGCCAAGCCTTTANATATATATATATATATATATATATCGTAAAACAATATCAACCCACTCAATCTTTATGTACAATAATGAAACCAAGGAAAACAACTAATACTTTTTTAAAAAATAATAATTACAACAAGGCTTAACAACAAATTAACAAGCCAAGTAATCATAGAAACAACAATGCACATGAAACAATTAAAACATGAAGCAATTATATTGGAAATGAGGAAAGGATCATGTAAGTAGAAAATTTGGTGGTGCATAGATACTCGTCACCTCACCTATACACCACACACCTGAAATTTCACATAATAATTAAGTTGGGGTTTCCTATTCCCTCAAGTCAAGGTTAAACCAAGCACTTTCCTCGCGGTGCAATTTCAATCAATTACTCGACCACAACTTTTCCTTTTGAATTTGTCTCCAAAAGCTTCAAATCTATTCACAAACAATTCGAAATACTCAACACGGATCGTAGGAATGAATTCCATAAGAATTTAATAAATTTCCGGATAAAAATTCGAAATTCATTTTAATATTCAGTAGTGGGACCCACATTTCAAATCCCAGAAAAACTTATGAAATCCGAACACCCATTCCGATTCGAGTTCAACCGTATCAATTTTATCCAATTCCGATAACAACTCGACCTCTAAATCTAAAATTTTCATTTTTGAAAGATTTTGCAAAAATCTTGATTTCTTCCATTTAAATCCGAATTAAATGATGAAATTTTATGTAATATAAACACTTTCGAGTATAGGACACTTACTTGAGTTGAAATCGTAAAGAACACCTCAAAATCGCCCAAGAACCGAGCTCCAAAAATCCCAAAACGAAAATGAAAAAAATGAGCATTTTTGGTCCTTAAGTTTCTGCCCATCCGTCACTAAAAGTCCATTTTCGTCACTAGAAGTCGTCACTAAAAGTCCACCAGAAACAGCTTTACTAGCCATAGTTAATCGATCATAACTTTATATACAAATGTCCAAATGATGAATGGTTTAACTCTTTGTAAACTAAAGTAAAGAGCTACAATTTTCATGTTTTGCAAATGTTTAGAATAGATTGCGAGATATAAGCTTCCAAAGTAGGCTTCTCGCATCAGAAATTTCTGGGGAAATTACAAAACAGCTTTACCAGCCTTTATTCAGTCAATCATAACTTTCTGTACAAATATCCAAATGATGAATAGTTTACTTTTCTGGAAACTAGAATTCAAGTGCTACAACTTTCATGTTTTGTAAATTTTCAGAATCCTTATATATTTCGAGATATAAGTTTCCAATATATGCTCCTCGCATCAGAATTTTCGAACCTTGCTGTCAAAAACCAGCAAGTTAAATTGGCATAAAAATGCTCCGAAACCACTTCGAAACTCACTCGAGCCCCTCGGGACTCTAACCACTTATGCCAACATGTCCCAAAATATAATACAAACTTAGTCGAGGCTTTAAACCATGCTAAACAACACTAAATTTTTGAATCGCGCCATGAATCGAATTATGAGTTTTCAATTCTTCTAACTTCTATATTTTGCGCCAAAACGTACCAAATAAATCCGGAATGACTTCAAATTTTTCACACAAGTCATATTTAACGTAAGGGAGCTATTCCTATTTTCGGAATTGAATTACGACCTCGTTATAAAAAATTCACCCTTCGATCGGACTTTTCCAAAATTTTATATTTTCCAACTTTCGTTAAAATGTGTCGAATTGTCCTACAGACTTCCAAATCCAAATCCGAACATACGCCTAAGTTCGAAATCATCATACGAATCTGTTGACATCATCAAATCTCCATTCCGAGATCGTTTGCTCAAAAGTCAACTCTACGGTCAACTCTTTCCATTTAAACTTCAAAATGAGAATTTTTCTTTAAATTAAATTCCGAATCTTTCGAAAACTAAACTCGACCATACACGCGAGTCATAATACATATTACGAAGTTGTTCGAGACCTTATGTCGCCGAAAGGGGCATAAATTCTTAAAACGACAAGTCGGGTCGTTACAAAATTCCTTGACCCGCATTGTACACCAAACTATATAAGTTTGCCATAACTAATGTAAAACTTGAGGTTGAGTAGGTAGATTAATTAACTATAATTGAATGATTACATGAATTTATCTAAAAACATATGTTATGTATTTAATGTGATGATGTAAACATGATACTCCCTCTGTCTAATATTAATAGTTATGGTTACTAAAAATAATTGTCTCAAATTATTTGTCATTTTAGAAGTTCAAGACAAAATTGATTGTTTTTTTTCTTTTTTATCTGTAGTACTTCCTCTGGTCCAAAATAAGTGATTTTTTGGCCTTTTTTTGTGACAAAAATAAGTGATTTTTTCAGATTTCAAGAATGAATTAATTATTTTTTTCCTACATTGTCCTTGAAATAAATAGTGTTGGAGTAAGTGTAAGGAGTATTTATGTGAAGAATAGTAAAGGTTACTATAGTCAATTTCATTGCTAATTAATGTTAAAAGATGGATTTCTTAATCTGTGTGAAAACAGCTAAAAAAATCACTTATTTCGGACTAGAGGGAGTAATAATTATTTTTGAAGATAGAGATAACACATAAATAGACTAAATATTCAATAAAAAGAGATTATATCTTAGAGTGCTGCTATTCGGCCAAACTCAGTGTGGCCCAACAATGACCACACCTGTGAAATACCATTAAAGCCCTTATTTTGGAGTTTGGCTTAATGGCCATTTTTTCCCTCCAAAATTAGTTAATAAATTTTGATTATCCCAAAACATTGATCCCATAAATCATCATTCTCTCAGCATGGGAAGATGAAAATCCTTCGTATATACGGATGGCAGCCTTCGTATATACGCTCATTACGTTTTTTTAAATACAATTACATATTTTTTTAAATACAATTACGTTTTTTTTAAAATGCAATTTATATGGATGGGAAGATCAAAAATCTATTATGTATACATTATACGTTATTCCTTGTCATACCATATACTTATGTTAAGAGAGCTTTCATTAAACACATAATTCACCACACTTCCCTTAACCTAAACATGAATGAAACTAGTTTGGAGCCATTAAACCCGAATAACAGCCTAGAAACTAGGTCGGATCAACTAAGGAATGCATTACACATATCATTGGGGTTGAATTCGGACGACATTTTGTTGAATGAAGATGAATCGATCGACATTGATTCAAACGGCAACTTCAATAATGGAGAAAATCATGTTGACGATGCTGCTGCAGCTGCTGCTGATGATGATGATGGTGATGACGACATTCATTATTTAGAGGAAGAAGGAGAAGTTGGAGAGGACAGGAAAATACCTAATGAGTTCAATGAAGAAGATCTCATAATTGGTCCAATTACTGGGATGCGGTTCAGTAGTAAGGATGTTATGTTTGATTTTTACAAAGAACATGCAAGATTATCGGGGTTTTGCATTGTCAAAAGAACATCAAACAAAAAAGGTGGTGATATTGTTAGGTATGTGCAATATGGTTGTGATAGGTCTAGGAAACCAAGGAATAAATATTTTACCAAGAGGAGGAACTGCCGTGCTAGAATAAATGGAATTTTGGAGGAGAATGGTTCATGGCGTATTTCAAAGGTGGTTAAAAAACATAATCATCAATTGGAACCAGCACTATCGCGATTGATGGCTGGACACAAATCGCTTAGTAAGTCTCTTACGAGAGCTCTTCCAGCCAAAAATATTGTTGGCTTAAGACCCTCAAAAAATATAAGAGTCGCTGAAGTACTTGCTAGTGGCCCCGAAAATCTGGGTTGTACACCAAAGGACTATAGAAATTATATCTTGAAGATTAGAAAGCTTCAGTTGCAAGAAGGGGATGCACAATCATTACTCAAGTTCTTCAGTGACATGCAACAAAAAGATAGAAAATTTTACTACTCCGTAGATGTGGAAAGTTTTGGTCGACTTCGTAATATCGTATGGGTTCATTCACACTCTAAGGTTGCATATGAGAGTTCCATGATATAATATGCCTTGATACCACATACCTTGTGAATCGATACAATATGCCATTTGCTTCATTTGTTGGTGTCAATCAACACTTTTGGGGTGTGCTCTTATGTCTAGTGAGGATATAACAAGTTACAAAATGGTGCTATCTACATGGCTTGGGGATCTAAACAATGTTCATCTATTAGCTATCATGACTGACCAATGTGATAGTATTAAGGATTCCATCAATGCTATGATGCCAAATACGGTACTTAGATATTGTATATGGCACATATTCGCAAAGTTGCCTACGAAGTTAAGCGGAGTTCTTGATGGTAAGATTGCAAAGACAGAATTTAAGGCTTTAGTCCTTGATAACATTAACGTTGCTGAGTTTGAGAGACTATGGACTGATTATATTGAAAAATATAACTTAGAGGAAAGGGATTGGTTTTATAAGCTTTATTTGGAGAAGGAGAAATTGGTTCCTGTAAACCTAAATGACCACTTTTGGACTGGGATGTTGTCCACACAAAGAAGTGAAGGAATGCATGCTTTCTTTGACGGATTCATCACCCGCCAAAGCATTTTGAAGCTATTTGTTCAGCAATATGAGTTAGCCATAAAAGTTAAGTTCGAGAAAGAATTGGAAGCTGAATATAGGTCAAGGTGCTTTGAAACAAAATGTTTATCTGAATTTGCATGGGAGGAAAAATTTCAAACATGTTATACTCGTGAAGTGTTTGAATTTTTTCAAGTACAATTAAGAAAACTGTACCATTGTGAAATCAGCACCCCTGAAGACCATCAAGCAATAGCTGGAGTAGAGAATTACATTATCTCAGATTATTCGTTCAGGAGTTTTAACACTAGAAATTCATTTGCATTCACGGTTGAATATACACCTATTGGTGAATATCTAAGTTGCAGCTGCAAGTGGTTTGAAACAAGAGGTATTCTATGCTACCATATACTTAAGGTGTTGTCTCATAAGAGGACTAGTAACATTAATTAGAGGTATATATTGAGAAGGTGGAGAAAAGATGTTGTTGTCTGCTCTTGAAACGTTTCTTTCTTGGAGGTTACCCATGTATGACATCTGAATACATGATGTACAGGGAACTATTAAAGCATTTTGAACGGGTTTGTGATATTGCATTGGATACTGAAGTGATGAGGCGATGTATTAAGTATCATTTGAACAGATTGGAGTATGACCTTTTGAATTGGGATGATGATCAAATGATAATTCCATATTGGGAATTTGAAGATACACATGATNATACGTAGCTTCTCGTGGACGTCCAAGGTTGAATAGATATAGAGGGCGAATTGATTCATACTTTGGAAGTTCACAAACGGATGGTGGAAGTGGAGTTAGAGGTAATAGGAGGGGTAGAGGTGGCGGTAGAGGTGTTGGCAGAGGTGGTGGTAGAAGTGGTAGTAGAGGTGGTGGTAGAGGTTGTGGTAGAGGTGGTGGTAGAGGTGGTGGAAATACTTGGCTAACGAAAGGAATTGACGTAAAGTATAACAAATTATTATTATATTTTTTCCGAAAAATACATTGCTTATTAGTGTTATTTACTCTATACAGCAAGATGATGCAACAGTACCACCACAGAGTATCTTGCCTGATCTAAACGATGAAGCAAACTGGGAGATAAAAGACTTGACCATTTAGTTTGAGATGATTTAAGTTTGAATCTTATTTAATTTGATTTTATATAGATTTTTTTGAATTTTTGACTTTGTTTTGTAATAATTTAAACGTGTGATATTATAATTGTCATTGTTAAATATTTTTTCATTTTATTGTTACTTCATTTTAGTTTAGAGAACTGCACTACCAAAATGTGATTAGAAGTGAAAGACTTCAGAACATTATAATCACTTCAAACTAAGAACTAAAATACTCACATTTAGTTACTAAACCCTACCCTTCAACCCTACTTTCAACATTCAACTTAAAACCTTACCTTCAATACCTATCTTGGTATCCCTACCTTCAACCCTTACATTGCACGATTTTTCCCCCAGAAAATTTCAACATTCAACTGCAACAAATTTCTAACATTAACTTCAACCAAATACTCCAAGAGTTCATTGTAAAATCAGTGTAACCGTTCCATCTACCTATTTAACTTCCCTTAGTAGCATTTACTAGATCTTATAATATATTAAACTATTTAACTTTCCTATGAAGCATTTACTATTATTTTATATTATTATTATTATTATTATTATTATTATTATTATTTTCTTATGTATTTTTGCTCTTTATTCCCCTTTCAATATTTTTGTATATTGAAAGGGTAGATATAAAGGACACTGCCACCATAAGGAATAATTAACAAAAAAAGGCATTTACTAAACATTCCATTAAAAAAAATTATTATGGTAAAGAAGACCAATATGACGATTGTAATTTCATAACATTAGCACATCAACATACATGAAGTTAAAATATAGAGGGTATTACAATCCGGATTTTCCACCCTTGGGAGTGGTGATGGCGCCTACTAATGTGAACTAGGCAAGCCAATCATTTTACTATTTATTTCATTACTCAATTATTTCTTTAAAATAAATATAAGACGATAACATGAAAACAGCGGAACTTTAAATAATTAAGCGGAAGATAACAACTAAATATCTGAGATCTGCATCTATTATAACTCTTAAAACCTAAAGTACCCAAAACCTAATGTCACAGTGTCACAGACGGTCTAAGATTTACTACATATAAAGTCTGAAGAAAATGACAATACACTATTTCTGAATAAAAGGAAAATGAAACATGAAATAGGAATATAGGAGACGTCAGGGCCTGCGGACGCCTGCAGGTCTACCTTGAATCTCCGTGTGGACTGAAGGTAGCCTCCACACTACGGTCTAAAAGCTGCTTCGGGATCTGTACATAGTGCAGAGTGTAGTATCAGCACAACCGACCCCATGTGCTGGTAAGTGTCTAGCCTAACCTCGGGGAAATAGTGACGAGGCTTGGACCAGACTACCAAATAACCTGTGCAGTTCAAATACATATACAACAGAAAGAAATATAGAAATAACCCGTCAATATGGGATGGGGTAGCATGTTGTGGGGAGATAACAATTCCGAATAGAAAGACATCAAGCAATGAAAGAAACAATATAACTCGGATATCAACAAAGAATCAGAAATCAATAAATGCACGGCATCACGCTTCGTGCTTTTACTCTCGTCCTCACCAAAGCAATCATATAATAAAAATGTGCATGGTATCACCTTTCGTGCTTTTACTCTCTTTCCTCACCATATAATCAATAAAATCAGCACGGAATGGTACATCATGCGGCACGGCATCACCCTTCTTGCTTTACACTCTTTCTTCACAATAATACACGACATCACCCTTCTTGCTTTACAATCTTTCCTCACAAAACAAACAATGCACAACATCACCCTTCGTGCTTTAATTCTCTTCCTCACCCAAACAACAATCACAAACAATAGGGCAAGGAAATAAATAAAGTTTGCAATAAGAATCCCGGCAAGGGAACAACATCAATAACATCCACATCCCCGCAAGGGAGATAACAAATAAATCAACAATAGCCCGGCAAGGGTGACAACATAATGACCTCTTATCTTTCTCACTTTTACTTTACAATTCACTTCACAACTCGAGCCAATGCTCTAAAGGTTCAATTGTCACTTATAATTTCACAATTCATTATACAACTTGAGCCAATGCTCCTCAATGTTCATAGGTCACAATTCTTTCCACAAACTTTATACAACAATTAGAAACCATCACCAAGGCATGAAAGATACAACAAAGTCATGATAATCACAATATAAAGACTCACAGACATGCTAGACACCAACGTATAGATACTCGTCACCATGCCTACACGTTATACTCAACAATTACCACATAGCAAGTAAGACTCAACTCCTAATCCCTCAAGCTAAGGTTAGACCAAACACTTACTTCGATGCCACGAACACAATTCACGATTCAATTATAGCTTTAACCTTTGATTCCACCACCAATTCGCTCGTATCTAGCACAAGTTACTTAATTACATCAATAAACGCTAAATGAATCAATTTGAATGCATGAAAATGAGTTTTCTAAAGTTTTACCCAAAAAGTCAAAAATCGACCTGGGCCCACATGGCCAAAACCCGAGGTTCGAACCAAAACCCATTTACCCATTCCCCACGAACTCAAATATATAATTTGTTTTGAAATCGGACCTCAAATCGAGGTCCAAATCCCCAATTTTTGAAAAAAACCTAGGTTCTACCCAAAACACCCAATTTTCCCCATGAAAATCAATGATTTTGAGTTGAAATCATGTTAAAAAGTGTCAAGGAGTGAAGAAAATGAGTTAGAAATCACTTATCAACGTTTTGGAGAAGAAAGGTTGTTTGAAAAATTGCCTTTTATGTTTTTGGGGTTTTGAAAAATGAAAAATAACTGAAAATCCCGTCTAAATATACTCCTCTCAGACTTCCTGCGGACCGCACAAAATCAACTGCGGCCGTACAGTCACCAGTGAACCTGTGCGGACCGCACAAGATCCACTGCGGCCGCACAACTACTAGTAAACCTGTGCGGACCCCACAAGATCCACTGCAGCCGTACAACCACCAGTGCGGACAACACAAGACCAGTGCGAACCACACTAGCAGGTTCAGAGAGCTACAGTTTTTTCTGAACCTCCAATAGTCATGTTTAAGTCTAAGACACCCCGGAACCTACCCGAAACTCACCCGAGCCCTCGGGGCTCCAAATCAAATATACACACAACCTCAAAAACATCCAACGGACTTATTCGTAGGATCACATCATCAAAATAACATGCAAAATCATGAATTAAACCTCAAAACTCAACATTTTCATCAAGAACTCTCAAAGTTCATAACTCTCCAACCGGAAGCCCAACTCACTTCAAATAAACTCCGTTTTCACCAAACTTTACATTTATCTTTCAAATACTATATCAAGCTTGTACCAGGCTCCGGAACCAAAATACGGGATCGATAAC